TAGATTTTTGTTTGCAAGAATATGTTTAAGCACTTGAGCTTTTTCTGAATCGGAACTGATGCTCTTGGCGCGCTGGATCTGCGTGTTAAAAGTGGATAATGATTCGACAGTTGACGTGTCTGAAAGAAATATCCATCATTAGTAATAGTTAATTGGCAGCTAGATCAGAAAAAATCTGATAGAAACTATGTTCAAAACATAGGCGCTCTAACCTTCTTTTTGCAAAAGATCTCTCATCATTTTTTTAACGTATAGCAGTTCTTAACCAGATTCCCAGTTAGCTGTAGGTAAATCGCCTACACACCAAAGAGACACGTTACTTCCTCATCGACATATGCCAAATTTCGGCGATCGCCTTTCTTTTTAATATTCTGACGACTATTACACATTGCTTTGCTGGTACAGTAAACCTACTTTGGAATTCCGAGTTATCTTCATCGGATCTGTTCTCTTCGCTTGATATCTCGTCATTAACAATTTTGTTTTGTTGTTTATTATATTGCGACGCTGGTTTTGGTGTTAGACCAACTTGTCCTGGTGGCTCTAACAGAAAATACGGGGGTTCTATTTGTTTCAAATGAATAATATGCAGACCATCCGATTGTCTCATTTCGCTGACAACACGAACATAAGTACCAGGTAAAAGTAGAATTTCATCTTTGGCACTATATTCAGAAAATTCGCTAATCAATCGGCCATTAAACACTTCAATATTAAACAACGTACGAACACCAGTATCACCTAAAAAGTTCGGTGATCTCAGAATATCTAGTGATGATGTGCACGAACTAAATGCCCACCATATTTGTTCACCATTTTTACAATATTTTGTGCTTAAGTCGTGTGGAACGCCGCGCCATACTGTTCCCCGATACGGAGGTAATTTATGAAGTGCAGTTAGAAACAATTTCAGATATCCATACCAGGGGCTTAGCGCGCGTCCATCAGTCTGCCGCAGAGCGTCGTTAAGTAATTGGTAGATTGTTGTGTGTTGCGTATAAAGATTGATGGCCGCTTGTTCGTCTTGCGTTCATCTCTGTTTGGGATATTTCGAGTAGTTCTTTGCTTTTTTTACATAATAGGCTAGATTTTGGATCGGAAGCCCTTGGCAAGCTTGTTCCAGGGTTAATAAGCGCATTTCTTTATAACCAGATATAGATTTGTACATTTGCTGTGAATTTCTATTGTCACCATTATCACCAGGACTCATGAACAAACGTGGATTTACTTGACCACCTTGAACTTGCTTTGATAAATGAGGCTGGTGGTAAGCATGCGACGAATATGGAGCAATAATGCGATCGCTCACTGAGGGTGAGGAACCCATTTTAAGTAACTCTACCGCCTAAATTTGATTAGACCAAGCTGAAGACAAAAAATATGGCAAAAATTAGAGGCAACATATGTTATGAGCTTGGAAAACGCAGCGATCTTATTTGCGAAAGTATGATGAACTTTCGTTCTTTTTTGGTGCAGCTTACGAGCTATATCTAACTATTTAAAATTTGGCTACTAAAAAACACCCACACCCGAAGAAGGACGAATATTGTGAGGTATAGAACTGGATCACTTGGCGTTCATTGACAACCCACCGCCGAACATACAGATGTCAACAACTCAACTATTCTACTCGAAAATTCCGAACATAATCATCCTCCGAGTGCCGTCCAACGAAGTGCTATCATTCGAAGACAAAGTGCGCTCTCGTGCCGTTAATACTAATGAAAGTACGCAAGATGTTATTAAAAATTGCTTAAGATCTTATTTTCGTCCACTGATCAATTGAAAATACTTGAGAATACTGAAGAAATATTCATCGATGTAATGAAATGTACTCATTTTTCAATGTACTTCGTCTTCGAATGTTCTGTTGCTTGTGTTGTTGACATCTGTCTGAATTCTTCCTTATTTATTAATTATAATACTCCTTTGGTAGTTAATGTTGAGCATGCGACCAATGACACCGTGCGACCAGTTGTCGTTCGACCAAGTGTCATTCAATCAGTTGTCATAGAACCGTATTGCTCACAAAAAATTCGATGTATGGTTTTTGAGGTTCAGGAAAAGTGCTAACGACCTGTTAGTAATACAAGTTTTTTGTAAACTTTGATATTATCAGTACACAAGCTTAATCTATTAGTCTTTCTTTTAGAATTAGCTGTTAAATAAAGTGGATATTGATTTGGACTACGAGCCATATTTTTTTTCGATTTCAGAAGGTTAATATAATGATAGTACCTCCTTTTTACTAAATTGTGGATTTGTTCTCTACAGATATAGATAGAAGTTAATAAATTAAAATAAACTAGCTTTAGTACGCCACTGATAAAAATTTAGCGAATATATTCGCTATTACGATTTCGTGCTTGGGTAAATTAGAACATCTACTATAAATGCTATTTGTACAAATACACAAGTAAGTTCATCTTAATCTGTTAGTATCTCGTTTAGAATTAGCTGATACTAAAGTGGATATTGCAAGACAGTCTGAGGAAACCTATTGATGGGTACTAATCTGTTGAGTCTATCATATCACCGTCTCACTTTCGTTTACGAAAATAAAAAATACTAGAAAAATCATTATTGTGCATACAATTTCTTTTTACCTTCAGCGCATATATAAAAAAATTTACGCTGCAGAGAGGCCGATTTTTTCTGCATTTGTACGCTTTTGCGATAACAAAACCCTAGTGTACTTAATTTACTTTCTTTCAATTTCTTTCTCTTCATTCAGTTACCATAAAA